ATCGTCGCAAGGCTACTTACAGCCCTTCCTCCTCCTCGTTGAATCCTGAACTCCACCAACTCATGGTCACTGCAGCCGAGGCTCCCCCCCCCCTTCACATCTCCTACAAGTCCCTCCCTATTTGATAGCACGAGGTCCAGTAGCCCGCCTCTCCTCATTGGCTTCTCCACAACCTGTGTCAAAAAGTTATCATCAACGCACTGCAGGAACCTCCAGGACTGCTTGTGCCTGGCTGTGTTGTCCTTCCAGTTGATGTCGGGGTAGTTGAAGTCCCCCATGAGAACCAGGGCCTGTGACCATGAGGCAACATCCAGCTGACTATAGAAGGCCTCATCAACTTCCTCATCCTGGTCAGGTGGCCTGGAGCAGACACCCACCAGTGACTCCCACACATTCCTAAAACACTTCATTTGTAAATTAAAAAATTATCTTGAATCTTACTTCAGATCTGATGTCCTAATTTCTACACTGGTGACCATGCACTTCAATATCAGGAGAATCTTTTGGGTTAAGTTACTTTTATATGAGCTATTTCAGTGTAGTACTGGAAATTTCACCACTTCTGATGTATATATAGAGTGATAAAGTTGTTGACTAAATCATTATACTTAGTCCAGCACTTACTATTTCTGGATGTTGCTTTCTGCATATTGGGAGACTGTCAAATCTAGTTGAATTTAATTATAGTAACAGAATAAATTAAAATGCTTCTTGTTACTAAGCATTTGAAAAAGCTTTTTTTTTTTTCTTTTGCAAGGACAAGTAGTTTTAATATAGTCTTCAGATGTGTTCAGTGAATGAATGTACAAGAGCCCAGGTTCACAGATAGTTTCATTTAGCAGATGTAGAAGATCCTAAAGAGGATTCTGAAAATAGTCACGAGATACCCCAGCCTTGCTCAGCATTTCAAGAATAGTTATTCCCGTCTTCCCTTAAAGACATATTTTAACTTGTCAGTTACATGAAAATGCAAGCTGTGTTCTACATCTAAAAATTCTGATACTATTTTTAAGTTAAGGAACAAATTAGAAAAAAATAGTGTTAGCCTAAAGAGGCCTCGTATTGCTTATTGGTTCAGGAAGTCTCCAGGTGTGTCCGGGAAGTCTCCAGGGTTGCCTAGGAAGACTGGAAAGCAAGCAGACGTACCCTGTTTAAATCACAATAATGTCTGTCATCTCTCTTTGTGTTGGAAAAAAGTTTTAACCCGGTGTCTTTTACTCTGTCTCATTCACTTCTCTGCCCTTATTCTTCTCCAAAATACAAAGCTAAAAGCTTCAATGAAATTGAAAGAGACAGAAGATTTTCCATTTTTGTTTTATTTTTTTGGCTGCCTGAAAAGAGATTGGGGCCTGACTGTGCAAATTATCTCATGTTTTAGATCACCTGGATATTAGCAGGCCTGATGCCCTGGACACCACAATCCTTACTGAGAGGAACCTGACATTCCCAACCATGAGAATTTGCCCAACATGGGCCGACAAAAACAGGACCTGCAGTTGTGCACACTGTGCTCAGGCACTTTCCGGCTGCATCAAAGAGCGCTCTGGAAAGGTGCATCAAATGTCAGCAAGCTTCTATATTTACCTGTGCGCACCACAGTCTTTAATAAATCATTCCTGGGGAGCGAAGAATAGATAAATCTTGCGCTTTGCTCTGCCAACAGTTTGCCTCTGCAAGTTCCAAATTAAAGACCTTGATCCCTAGGACTGTGTTTAATGTGGGCATATATTGTGCATTTTATTTTCTGTCAAGAGGCTTTTCTTAAAATGGCATGATGTCAGAATATGTTTTTATTACTTCCTGCACGAGTAAGGTTTTCTCCTTCTCCTCTCATTTGTTATCAAAGACACAGTCCTATTCCCAAAAAACACACGCACACACAAAAGTCCTGCTCACTGACAAAACTGGGAACTCCTACTACTCCAATCCCTTTTTTCCCCCCCAGTTCTTTACTGAGAGTTATGGTAAAATCCTGCTTATTGGATGCTTGGAGATGTCAACCTCAGTTTTGTTTACAGCATGAATAAGAATGGATGTCTGATTAAATACATGTTATCTTTATAAATAAGACCCCCCTACTCTTCCCTCTTCTAGCCCCAAAACATTGCAAGGAGCAAGTAGCTGTTTTCTAAGCAGAGGCTGTAAAGACTGACCTGGCTCTGGGAGCTAAGCTGGCGCTCTCCCAGGAACACGGCTCCAGTGGAAATGCTGCTCCAGGTACATTTCATCTGACAAGAACATTAGTCTTCAAGGTGTCAGCAGCACAAATCTGCATTTTCAAGAAGGCTACATAGGAAGGGATATTAGAAAGGAACACTAATGCGTTTGTGATAATGAAAATAACTATAATCTCCCCAGAAAAAGATATATAATTTCTCAAATATGTTAAAAAAGAAAATGATGCACATATACCTGATTATGCCATTAACAGGGGAGAGAGGTGGTAAAAGCCGTATTTCCCCAGCAAAGAGTTAATATGCTGCCTTTGCTACCATTTAAAAAAAATCTTAGTCTGTTCAGAGTTCCCACTTTTATTTATACCACTGATGTCAGCCTTTCTGTTACTACTTCTTAAAATTCAGCAGTAGCCCGCGTCGTGACGCCTATGACTCATAGCTCTGCATCGAGATCACTTTGCTTCTCCATTTTATCATATCCCCGGGACAAGGATTTCTTCCGCAGCCCATTCCCTCTCCTGCAGGGCCTTATGTAAGGGTAAATCAAGGCCACTGCCCATCACTCACGAGCACATCAGCATTTTGCTCACCCATCAAGAGCTTTCCAAGGGCAGAAGGGCCACAAGCCCCACTGTGCCCTCCACGGCAGCCAGGCCAGGGGTCTTGGTACAGTCTCCAGTTGCGGATCCCGTTTTCCGCCCGAAACTCTGGTGTTGTCAGTAGCTCTCGCCTTGATGTCCCTGCCAGCTGCTCCCTGTGCGCTTGCTGTTTGGCCAAGCGAGGCTGCGGCGCTGTCGCCTCCAAGAGGAAACTTGTCACCCTAGTGGATCCCTGCAGCACCGCGTGCTCCTTCTGGCCCCTCAGCTGCGTTTGCGGCAAGGAGACCCTCCATCATGCAGGCTCACCTCCAAGCAGCCTGAAGTGCCGGTCTCCTTTGGCCTTCGTTTCTGAAAAAGATAATCAGAACGAATGGAACATAACTTGCTCTCCCTTTATTCCTCACAGCTCACTAAAAAAAAGATAATCAGAACGAATGGAACATAACTTGCTCTCCCTTTATTCCTCATAGCTCACACTAACCAAATAAACTAGCACGAGCTTTTAAAATAATCAAGTGTTATGTGAAGTTACTTTCCTGACGTTGACAGGGGCTAGAAACAAAATGTAGAGTGTCCCCTTCCTTATGCCCTCTGTACTCTAGCTCAGAGCGTGAGGGAATTCAGGACAACTCCACAGAGCAGGCCCCGTGCACGAGTCACGTTCCCTGGGATGAGGCAGCTCCCGGGATATCGGCCGGTGCCGCAGTGGAGGTACCCCACGGCAGCACAACGGGTTACGACCCGCTTTTGCAAAACAGTGTAAATATGTAACTGACGGGAGAAATCACTCTCCTCCATGCAGGGCTCGCAACATGAAATGGAAAGGAAGGGGTACATGGTAGAAAGACATTCATCAAGGAACAAGAGAGGCTGGGAAAGGTTCCCCAAATCAGGGGACAGTTTAGGCATTGCAAAAGTCACAAAAATGGGACCTTTATTTTCATACTATTAAAACTTCATTGCTTAGTAAGGAGACCATGCAGTTGGTGTGCATCTCCTCAGTATTTTGAGGGACTGAGTGACTGCTCAGAGAGGTTCTTTCTGCTGCTATGCATATGACCTTCAGAACAGTTTCCACAAGCATAATGATTGGGTAGAAAGATCCATTACACTTGATAGAGAAGTAAGTCCTGACAGTTTTATATAGATAAAATAATGTATAAACTGCCAGACTACCTTGGCTCCTCATAAATCTTCCGTGCGCTAAGTCCTCTTGCAGGCTGGTCACGAGGTGCCGTTCCATAACCGGCAGCGGGGGGAGTTGGAGAGCATTGGAGAGCATTGAGTGCAAGCCCCACGGTTATCGGGGCTGAACTCCCATGTCTCACAGCAGGAAGGAGAAAGCAGCGAGAACGTTTATAAAGACAGAAGGCTCTATTTCTTTTACACAGAAGAGTCCTGCCCATGCAAAGCAACTCTTACAGCAACAAGCACTAATTTCAGATGAGAAATGTATGAAATGTGATTTCTGCAATCACTTCAGCATCTCAAAAAATAGGGATTTATAGCAAGATAAGTATGAGCAAAGGGCCTTTTCACAGATGTAGTATTAACTTATGAGGCAGGGAAGCCTCGGGAGAAGATGCCTGCCAGCTTGGCTCTTTTCCAGGCTGGCTCTGAAGGAAGCCCCGACCTTCCTCCCCTGCTGCCCACGTTGCAAAGAGCCACAGCAACTATTAGGGGACCTTGTCAAAGAGGCACCTAGTGAGGACGCTGAACTCTACAAGGAAACACTGGAACTCATTTACAAACAGAACTCAACATTTTTATTCATTGATTGACTTCCTGCCAATTTTGATGTTTGCTATTACCAGAGAAGAGCGTAAAGACACAGTACAACATTGTTAACCAGTTTAGAAGGCTGGAAGGGAAAGCAAATCCCAGTACAATTGCAGGTGACTTGGTGGAGTTTTAAGATTTTTGAACTGATCAGCAATGAAGCAATAAATATCCTGCTGCACTGGACCAACAATAGGACTTTCACTAGATTTGTGGTTTATTGCATTACATTTTGAAACTAAACATACCCATCATCATACATTTGTTCATCAACCAGGCAGATGACATTTTTCTTCATGTGTTAAATGCTAAATGGCTATGCAGTAGCTGAACTAGGACTAGTAGAGGTAGATATTTAATGGGCAGTGCCAGGCAGAAATATTTTTTGTAAAATACTTTTTGCCATTTATTATGAACACTTAGCAAATGTAATATTTTCAGTTAAAACAACACACACCTTAGGAAAGCAATTCTAAGATGCTTTGGATTTTCTAGTAATACTCATCTCGCAGTGTCTTCACAAACCCTTTGACACAGTCCCTTGTAAGTCACCAGTCTCTGCCCTCTGAGCTTTCTGCCATGATGGAGACCCACATACAAAGTCCAGATTTCTGGGAACACCCAATGGCTTTGCTGGTACCACTCGAAGTAAATATGCTTACAGTGTCCTTGGGGCAGGAAGGCTGCATTTACAGTACTTACAGCTTCAGTAATCTCTCCCCTAATAATAATGCTACTTGTAATCTAAAAACTCTTTGCAGTCTTCTCCTGCATGGCTGCTTTACCAGTGTCCCTTTGCCATTTCCAACGCTGACTGTACATTCATGGGCCAGCAAATGTCTGTGCCCAGAACATTAAGCTTGGCAGCTACAGAGGGTAGCTTTCATTTCCAGGAAAATGCAGTCATAATGAAAATGACACCGAGTTTTGTGGAAGTACATGCTGCTTGCTCCTTAAAATAACAAGCAGTTCATAGATGGAAATGGAAGTGTCTTTTCCAAGCTCTGCAACTGTATTTTCCTACACCAGAAACAGCTTCCAGTTTCCAATGAGCTCACCAGATATTCGATTCCTCACTGATATCCCTGATTATTTTGCATCTGCGTCATTTTCCTCCACAGAATCCCAAAGTAGTAGGTTAGAACTTACTGTGCATCAAACAAGCACAAGCATAGCTCGAGCTATTTCACATTTACCAATCGGGTACAAATGGCTTTTACAGAACAAACTTTCCTGGAGCTGGGGGAAGGTAGGGGAAAGATTTCAGCTAGCTAGCTATTCAGCACAGGACATGTACAGAAAACATTTAAAACTACCATAAAAATGGAAAAAATATAAATTATTTTGATTCAGGTAGAGCTAGCTGAATTATTGTATCAAATGTTTTTGTTAGCATTCGTGGCATAGGTCCAAAGTGCACCCATGGCACGTGGAACCACAGCACCACTGCTCCAGCCCTCCCTCAGGCATCGTGCAAGCCAAAATCCAAGGTCTTACGTATCTGAACTTGCTCACGAGATACTGAAATTGTGTCTGCACCTCTGGTTTCTTGATTGATCTCACCCTACTCTCACTGGTGTTTTCCTTCTATAAAGATGACAACAGTCCAGTCTGGCAGAAGAACAAGGTGCTGCACCAACTTCTAGGGTCTACTGTACGCTGGAGCAACTCCAGACCTGCAAAAACAAACCAAACACTGAAGAAAGTTTATCAGGCTAATTACCTGGAGCTTTCTCCCTACTTGAGAAGAAAAGCTGAACAGACTCACTTCTGTATTTTGACCAGACACCACACATCTGATTCCTCCTCTGCACATGGAAATACTAAAACTTGTACTGGAAAAAAAAAACGAAAACAAAAACAAGAAAACCTAAGAGCCTCTATATTGTCCTAAAATTAAGGCATTTAAGATGCAAAGGAATGAGTTCCTGAATGGCCAACTGCAGAATATTTTACCTGCTCATTCACACCTATTGTCTTCTTTTGTCTGAATGCTCCAGCTTTCCCAAAGAACAAGGAACACTTGTTGGCACTGCCAAACACTGGAGCTAGCTGAGCACCTCCTGCGTCATTTTGGGTCAATGACTACTTTGAATTATTTACTAACAATTTAAGTTCACTTCTGACACTGACAGTGCTTCCTGTAGTGTGCATTAGCCCATGCTACAACCTCTGCCTAGGAGAAAGTCCAACTAACTTTTTTTAAAGACAGGAAAGATATTCATGGCATGTTTCATTGCTAGTGGCTCCGTTTATGCTGGAAACATCTTTTAGCCAGGGGAAAACCTGAAGAATTGGACCCACTTTTGCCATTAAGCAGCAAATGTTGCAGGTCCCTGACCACAATGGCAATCCCAGCACGTTGTGATGTCCTTGGTTTGCTTACTGGTCTTGGCAGTCTAGTCCCAGAGACTTCAATTCTGGATCTCCAAACATGAAGGAAAGTTTTCACTGAAAGGCAGAGCACTTCTCCTACTTTGTAAAACACCAATTGTGCTGGATTGTAACTTAACTTCCAGCTCTTAAGCTCCTCCTCAAAGTTGACACTGCAGCTGACAGGAGAGATGTGAAAATGAAGGAATTCCTGTGTCACTTAACCTCCTTTTTCAAGGGAGCTCCTTCCTCACTTAGTCTCTCATTTCCCAGGACAGCAGTCTTCTGGAAGGGGTTGAGGAACCTTTCTCTACTCTGAAAGCATCTCACAGGCCTAGGGATGCCTTTCCACGAGGTTATCAGGAAGTGCCTTTGGGGGAGATCACAATAGATGGAGGCTTCTGGAAGGTCCACAAAAATATCCTTTCCCACTTGCGTAATGAAAGATAACCTGCCTTCTTGCCTTATAGTTCATCTGCTTCAGCACAAAAATAGGCAGTGAGAAAGTACAGGAAGAAATCCCATTTATAGGCAGCACCCAAAAAACAGAATGAGGAAAAAAGGCTGCTTGATGCAATTCACAATCTGTTAGGAAACGTGAGCATTCAGCGGCCTCCAGCTACAGCGTCAGAAGCAAAGAAAACGGCAGCAATACTCAAGAGGCAAGGCCAAAAGCTTACAGCTTGTGTAGACGAGACTGAGTTGTCTTCAGTAGTTGCAGAAAACATGCAGTCCAAGTATCTCAGGCTGCAGAAAAGACTGAGATCTACACATGCTTAGGACCAGTCATAACTGACAAGACCACTAATTGACCAAAGTCAATTAAATGCTCTAGAAGCATTCTAGCCCCTAAAGGCCTGGCTGATTAAACACACACATATTGCAAACACAACTTATATTTCCAACATGAACTACAACATAAACATACACAAGGATAGCTAATCACCAGGAGAAAGTGGTACTGAATGCACCACAAAAAATGGATTGCTCTTTCTACAGTTAGGAAACTGCAAACCCCAGCGTTTCTCAACTCTGGGTGTGTGTCAATCACTAAATTCCATGATGTGGAAGAGGAACACTGGGTATGCACTTGATACTCTTAACTAAAACCCTGCAGCAAAGAAGGCACTCACTTGAAAAGCTGTATTTATTTTCTCCTTGGTTTTATGTGATGAGCCTATAAAAACATTTGAGCACTTATCTATATTATTGACACAGTAGACTTGTAGACTGCAGTTGGACGTGGAAAATAAAATTCAACACCACACTGGTGAAACTTAAAAGCCAAGTAGTAAAGCATTCTGTGTTATAGGACTTCCCAGACATTCAGCCTTCATATATAATGCATTTAAACTTAATATATACTCAACATCCACGCATCAGCAATGACATTATTAGCATAACTGGACAGCACAACAAGCCAACCCTGAGCTGCACTCTACTGAACTCATTCATTTTCAAAGTACAACAGAGATTGGTTTAAATATTCACGCAATTGTTTTTCAAAACATTTTATTGCATTATATTTGGTACCTTATGTTTGACAAAGGAAATTACATCTGTAACTGCAGGAATAAGAAGCTGGTCTGTTATTGAAAAAAAATCTTGGGCCCCTTAAAAGTTACAAAGTCTTGGGCTTGCCTGAAACAACTGAGCAAGAAATATATTCTTAGAAATGTAGGGCTTCAAGTATTACAAACCTGTGACACTGTGGAAAAGTTCCAGAGGTATCTAAACTGCAGCACTTTTTTTTTTTCTGCATAACGTGAACAAGGCCTGCTGAGGTTTTAAACTATTAGTCTCTTGATCAGTCAAAATGGTAGTCAGGAGTTCTTCTCTTTGTAACTTCAAGCCATAGTATGTTCTCATTTTATTTTCACTCTATGTGAAAAATGTATGCTATCTTTCTAATTAGTTGGTGCCACATCACAGTGCATAATTTTATTTGGTTCTTGCATTACAGTTTTAAAAAGTTTGGCCAACCTATGCTGCTAGGTTCGTCTCAAACAGCAACGCTGATTTCCCCCTAGCCCACCCCCCCTAATTTTAGTTCAAATACAGATATAGTTTTAACTGGTTCCTTCAGTTAAA